ATTTTTCCTTCCAGTTTTTATATTTCTTATTCTTTACATTTCTATACTTCAAATTCCTACACTGCATTTTGTTCATAAGAGTAGCTTTCAAGTAACTTGTTGCCGTAAACCTCTACGAGGCTGATTTGGATCTTTGTAAGTCTTTCATTTTACTTAATGAAATGCTACAATTGTTTTTTCATTTAATCATTGTTTGCTTAATTCTCCTAAACAAAGCCACAAGTAAAAGTCCTCTTCATTGAGGCTGAAAAAACTAAAATACAATCGTCTGATAATTGGTTGACAATTAATATTCTGTAAGGACTGATTAATCCTTACTGGCACGCTCACAATTACAAAAATAACCTTCGAAAGCTAAAAAGCTAACATATATAAAATTTAATTTCTGATCATGTCATTGGATATTTGAGGTCACTCTTAATATTTTTTTATGAAGGTTCCACTTTTACCCTTAAAACACAAAATGACAATAAATCATATAATTTTTACCTTACATTTCATAATGACAATAAATTATTAGGCATTCATGAAATACTATATAAGATTATTTAATGGAAAATCGCAACACATTAGGTAAATTATTTTTTTCCATAATTATTAAAAAAAAATGTTCATTACGTAAGTTATTTGAAACACTACGGGACTATTTGGTACAATTTGTTTGATTTGCTTATAAATCTGTATTAGACTGTTTGAGGTAGTTTTTGTTCATAGATTATTAAGCAAAAATAGTTTGAGTAAGCTAAAAAAAAGTTGATTTTTAAAAGTTGCGTGAGTAGTGCTGTTGGCTTCCATTTTTGAACTAACATAATACCTATGCTGTGCACAGAATTTTATAAAATAAGAGGCCAAAATAAAAATAAAAATAAATTAGGACATAAGTTTTTTTTTAAATTTAATTAGTTTATTTTATCTTATTTAATATAATTCATTTATGGTATAAATGACTCAAAAAAATTATTGTGCATGTTAACTTAAGTTATTTGAAATATAAGAAATTAAAAATTATTTGAAAAATTAAAATTAAGAATATTTATACGCTTTTGTTTGATTGAATATAAATTAATTTTAAAAATTAAGTGGTAAGTAATTTTCCACAATTAACTACTATTAGTTACAAAATAATTTAATATAAATATTTTCACGTACTTAATTCTGTTATCAAATAGAAACTCGATATTAATCCATCTAAAAATATTTGTATTCAAATTTTCTAATTTACATGAATAAGGGAACCATTGCCACATTATGGAAAATGAGTTGCAAGGATGAGTTAAATAGTTGTAAATTCATCAATTCAGTACGTAACACATTTGTAATGATTTTTATAATTAAAATAAGTTAATTTATAAAAGAAGTCTCCAAACATATAAATTTATTTTCTATTGTGTTTTTATTATACTTTCTAACATGATTTGGCCATCTCATGTTAACAATTTTTCTTTATTTTTTTCAAAACTTATAAAATTATGTGTTTTTATTTATTTATAATTAGCAATAACCAATATTATATATATACGCATGATTTTAGACTTTTAAAAAAACAAAGAAAAAGAATTTTAAAAAATAGATATAGTCAAAATAGGAAAAAAAAATGAGATAAGTTTTAACAATTGTAGGTATATGGATAATGTATTGTGGTAATCTTACATTGAGTTGGAAAACTTTCCTTTGAAATTCTTAAATCTTGAGGTAAATCATGGTAATTTAAATTAAATTCATAAATCATGGAGTAAATCATGGCAAATTTAAATTTGTACAGTGGTAATTATGAATTTAAATTTTATACCTAAATAAGCTCAAATAGATGTTTTGATTTTAAAAATAATTTTGTATGTGATTTTAAAAATATTTTTTTATAAATTATATAGATAATCTCAACGTCACTCTAATACAAAAAATTATGAGCTACTTATGATAATTTTAAATTTGTATCTAAAACTTATTAATCATGGAATGAATCATTATAGTTTTAAATTTATATTGTGCAAATTTTAAATTTAAATTCATAAACTGCTTTCCATATTTAGTAGCCTTCAAATTTGAATTTTGAAATGGATTTGTATACTTTTAATTTTTTTTTTTTTGAAGATTTGATATACTTTCCATTTAAAAGTCATAAATCAAGGAATATTATTTTATTTATTTATTTATTTATTTTTCTTGAATGAGAGTTGGCAAATAGAAGATTTTTTAATTATTTAAAATCAAAAAATTAGATATTTTAGCTTGAGACATAATGCCAAAAAAAATTTAACCTTTCGTCGGCGATCTCGATCTTGATCGCAGTGCTCGTGAGAGAGAGAAACCAGAGATGGAGGAAGTCGCCGGAGATGGAGGAGAGAGAGACACCGGAGATGGATGAGAGGAAGGAAATTGGTTGATCGCAGTGCTCTCTCTCTCTCTCTCTCTCGATCTTGTCCACAAAAATTCTTTCAATGATCAAAAATTCTTTTTCCAAATTTTGTTTTTTTGTTTTTTTTTTTTTTCAGCTGTGTTTACACATCAGCTGCCACCTCATCTGCCATGTCACTGGTGGTCACTAGGGGTTGGAAGTCACTGGGGGTCTGTAGCGAGGGTGCAAAATATAATACTTTGAGACTATTTAATAATTTACTTACACAAGGTTTTATGGCATAGTGCATGCGGGATTTTTAAAACTTTACATTAACAGTGTATCCAATTAATGATAAGAAACTTAGGATTATTTTAGTTAATTTTTTACTTTTTTAAAAAAATATAGTGAATAATTAAATTTTTTTATAATGATTTTTTTGGCTATTTGAACTTGTCCTTAATAATTACATAATACTAAAAAAAAAGAATAATAATAATAATAATAATATAAGACTATTAAATAAACATATAACCACGTGGCATTGTCTTGCGTGCGGGCAGAACCCAAGAGGACCGAACAGAATAATAAAAATTGTGACATAATAATGGCACGACATGGCATGGCATCTGCTCAAATTCAAATACCTGCGCGCACCAACACTACAAAAAATTAATGTCTAGAGATCAGAATTTAAGGGATTGTTTGGAATAATTTAAATAGATATATTTTTTAAATTTTTATGAAATATGAATTAGATTTGAAGTGATGTATTAGAGAGGTGATGTGACTTAAATAAGATAATGTGACTTAAATAAGATAGTGACTTTTTGACTTTTTTTAAACATGCCAAACCAACCTTTAAAAGAAAATTTATTTTTTATTTTTATTACTAAAAATGTCATCATTATATTTTTAGATATGAAAATTGGACATTAGTGATGAATTATTATTCTTTTGAGACCAAATTTTTTCTCTCAAAAAATAAATTATTTTGAGACCAAATTATTTTATTCTATTTATTAGTGACATTTTCAAAATTTTGTCACTAAAAATTTTATTTTTTACTTTTTAGGACGACATTTTAGTGATTATCCTCCTGACGATGAAAATTAATCTTTAAATGTCTTTTATAACAAAATTTTTACTTTTAAAGATCATAACATTTAATTTCTAAAATTCTTAGGCTTCGTTTGGGAAGTCCAACTTGGGGCTTTTTAGCCTAATAAGACAAAATATCACATCCAACTCATAATCATTACATTCTTTCTCTCACAAAAAAATCAAAAAAACTAAACAAGCCACAAACTAACCCACTTCCCAAACAAACTCTTTTATGTTTTAGTGCAACGTGAATGTAGTTCCGGCATAATCAAAGACAATCACTTCAAAGAGTCTAAAACAATAAAAAATTGTTGCCGACAGCTATCTCCGCACAAAAAATAATGAGTGTGTTTAGTTTGTATTTTGAGATAAATTTTTTAAAAAATATTTAAGGAGAGAGTTTAGAAATTTTTTTGGTTTGTTTGGTTTTATATTTTGAAAACAGTTTTAGAATTTGGGATGATTTGATATTTTGTTATAGTTTAGTAGATATATGTGAGAGAGAAAGTGATTGAGAAGGAGAAAAGAGATAGAAAAAATGATTGCAAAGACAAGTCACTTCAAAGAGTCTAAAACAATAAAAAATTGTTGCCGACAGCTATCTCCGCACAAAAAATAATGAGTGTGTTTAGTTTGTGTTTTGAGATAAATTTTTTTAAAAATATTTAAGGAGAGAGTTTAGAAATTTTTTTGGTTTGTTTGGTTTTATATTTTGAAAACAGTTTTAGAATTTGGGATGATTTGATATTTTGTTATAGTTTAGTAGATATATGTGAGAGAGAAAGTGATTGAGAAGGAGAAAAGAGATAGAAAAAATGATTGATTGATGTGTAATAGAGAGAGAAGTAATTTTAGATTTTTTTTGAAAAAATTTATAACCAAACATATTTTTGAATTTTTTTTTCCAAAAACATATTTCAAAATACAAACCAAACATGGCATAATTCGTATAAAAAATAGAAAAATGATTGAGAGTATTAAAAGTGGTGCTCTAATAGCACAACTAATGATGTGGTAGTGGACCATGCCTTGTTTTTTTGTTTTTGTTTTTTTAATTTTTTTTGATATTCCCAATGCATTAGTACTATTAGAACATCTCTAACGGTTGAACAAATTTTTCACTAAATTTGAGTAAAAAAAAGCCAATTTTCTCATTCTGATACCAAGAGCTCCAATCGTTACTATAGCGTGCATTAAACAGGTGGTCAACCGGGTGGTTGACCGGTAAGAGCAAATTTCCAGTTTTTGCCTTCATTTCTGTTGCTTGAAAAATGCTAAGGTGGTCGACCAGGTGGTCAACTGGGTGGTCGACCCTGCAATGTAAAATTTTCCAACTCAACGGCTATGCACAATGAATTGGTGAAAGGAGCAAACCGTTTTCAGTTTGGTGAAACGTTTGATATTTTCTCAATTTGATACTGTTTTGGTGCAACTGTTGGAGCACAAAAAGCAGCTTTTTTTCATCAAATTTGAATTTGATGTTGGATTTGGTGAACGGTTGGAGATGGCCTTAGTGTTATTTTTTTAAGTAGTATGAATCATTATTGTAAAAAATTGTGAATGCTTTCTAATTTTCATTAAATTTGTTTCTTAATACACACAAAAACAAAGAATGAAAATTAAAAAAAAAACACTTGTTTCTTTTGTGACTGCACGATGCTTCTATAGATCAACAAAGTTCTTAAACCAGTGATTTCAGGCTTCCAAAGCCAGCTGTTTCTGCCGATGAAGACCGTTTAACCCCCCGGTTACATTGTATTCCTCTGCATTAAAAAGCTCTACATAGTACCTCCAAAAAGACGGTTTTTCATATTTTTTCACCAACTCCAGGCTGCCTCGGCCGCCTTTTAGAAGCTGCACAACCTGCAAGTGGAAATCAGTTGGCGTTTAATTTCACAAAATTTTACATAATTAGTGCATAATCTATATTGAGAACATGCCTGTCTCATTCGGGGACGTTGAATTGAAGATTGTTGTATGCATAAAAAAGCAGCCAAGACCATCAGGTTCATCTGTAGCAAGTTGTAGTCATCACCAAGAGAAGAATCGACAAGCTCTCTGATGTTGTTCTTCTTGAGCAAGGGCTTTGCCTATAAGTAAATTTGAAACCTCTGAATGTCAATTCATCCAATTTATTTAGAAAACATGTATTATAAAGGGAAGTTCGGGTTTGGAGGTCTTACCCAGACGACAAGGCTTTGCTTTGAGTAGTCCAAAGCTCGACGCCCAGAAATAAGTTCCAAAAGCAGCACTCCAAAGGCGAAAACATCAGTTTTCTCATCTACTATGCCATGCATTAAGTACTCGGGAGCAAGATAGCTGCAATTAAAGGGGGGAAAAAAGATTTCAAAATGAAATATTGTGTGAGATAACAGATGGATGAGACGTGTTAGGTTTCAAATTACCCAAATGTGCCTTCGGATTTTGACACTGTATGGTGAGTCCATCGCTCTGGCAGCCATTTTGCAAGCCCAAAGTCACAAATCTGAATTGAAAATAGTTACTGAGGTTCAAGGCTCCCAAAAACACCTTAAGAAAAGCATATTTTGTTTTAGATAGGTTTGGTCATGCATAGAAGAATTAAATGAATCAGAGTTCAAATCAAGATTATAGAAGTATCTTTTGCTGTAAATTTTCATCCCTACAAATGTCCGAATATAAGTTTTGTATAAAATTTTGAAAAGCAAAATTACCTGAGGCTCAAAGTGTTCTGTAAGCAATATATTTGCAGCCTTGATATCTCTATGAATGATTCGCCTTTGACAACCCTCATGAAGATACACCAGACCTTCAGCGGTTCCCAGTGCTACCTTGTGCCTAATATTCCAGTTTAGTTTCTCCTTTGAACCTGTTAAAGTAAATTAAAAATCATACAAGTTTTACTCCATTGTATTACAGCATGTAAAATTTGGAGGAAAACAATAACTGGAATTTAGAAATTACAAACAAACCATGAAGCTGAGAAGATAAATTTCCATGTGCAGAGAACTCAAGAACAAGGTGCATTCCTCCTTCAACCCCATATCCAATCAATTTAGCAGTATTGGGATGGTTGACATGGGCCATAACCCCGAGCTCCAATAAAAAGTGGCCTATTCTTTCTTCAGTCTGTCCTCGTGTCAGCCGCTTAATCGCTACAACCTGCCCGTCTCGCAAATGCCCCTTGTAAACTTCAGCATATCCACCCTTTCCAACCAAGTTCTCTGTTATGATGGAGCAAATGAAAAAAAATGAGAAATTAAAACAAAGCAATCACACAAGAACAAAAAAATATATGTGGTTCAACTATATGCCTACATCCATGAGTGAATAAACAATACAGGGCTTCACTATCAAAAGAGGAGAAATTATAAGGGGCATCTGTCTCTCTCAAAGGCGTCTGTAACAGGAATTATAATATCATAAACTAATTCTTGAAATAAACCATAATATATAGTAGGATCCAAATACAACAAAAATCAGGTGACATAACGAATGAATCAGGTCATGCGGTTCACCATTGGGTTTTAAGAACAAACTGGGTAGAATACGATTATATGACACACCCACAACGTTCTCTACAACTCAAATTCTATGCATAACTGGCACATGAGCACAGTTCCACAAGGGTCATGATGTTGGGAAATTGGTTATAAATTTCAAATTTTGAAGCAAACTACATACCATGGCTGAAACAGTTGCTTGCAATTTGGAGTTCAGAGAGGCTAAAATTCTTCCACCGAGGCATGACATAGCGCAAATCAGTATCGAAAAGGGGATTTGTTGCAGTGCTGATGTCTTCTTTCATGTTACTGCTAATTCTCCTTGAGAGCTTCATGATGCTGAGAGGATGCAAGGTGGGTAATGGTATTTTTGATCTGCTTTTCAGTAGTTGGACCAAACCACGCCATAGCGATACAAGCTTTGAGTTTCCTTGAACTTCAAATTCGGATGTGCTCGGGTTGGAAGAGACTATTTCAGATTCTGCGGTCCTTAAGTAGTCCTCAAGAACTACAATAGGGCGGTACAAACTTTCCTTCCCCACCATTCCAAAAAATCACAATGCTGTCAAGAAAGAAACAGTTTGCAGCATGATCACGGCTATGCATTGTGTAGAGAAAAACTGGAAATATATGAAAAAGATTGAAATTTTTACCTTTAGAAGAAACAGATACAGAGAACAGAGGATTCAATTTCATCGTCATAGCATGAAGTTTAGCCTAATTCAATTGGGGGAAAAATGATATGCAAGCTGTTAATGGCCCATCATAAGGAAATTCAAGATCAGAAGGTTTAGGGAGGCCAAGATAACGAGAAACAAACACTAACACACGTGAAAACACAACGATAAATAGACAGCAGAAGAAAGCAATTCAAGATGTTCGCGTTAAGTCCCAAAATACATTAGGTATGTTACAATACACCGAAGAAGAGAACAGGCAATAATTGAGAAACTAAACAATTAGAGAAAGTCTCAACATGAAGGCACTTATAGAAGGAAAGAAAATAATACACAAACGGAAACCAAACATATACAAAACAAGGATTATGAACTAAAATCATGCAAGTGCGAAAGAAAATTGAAACAGAGCAACAAAAGGGGACATTTTTTTGAATCCCGTTTGATATCGAAACGAGAATGTAAAACCAATTGAAGCCAAAAGCAGCACAAGAAACCATTGCAGAGTTAGAAGCAGAAGAAACCCAGAATGGAAGAGTCATGCAAAATGATGATGCATACCCATCAACTGAAACTCAACAATAAGTGAAAATAAATCCGAACAATGGGTTCCTGAGAAAAGAACAAGAAGAATGGAGATGTCTGCTGGCTTACCCGTGAAAGAGAATCTGAAGATTGTCAGAACTGAAAAGCAAAGGCCACTGCACTTGCTGCGCTTCAACGATCGCACCGCACCGTACTCAACATTCTGTTATTCCTTGAGTCTAAACTATCATTACAAAATCAATCAAAATCAAATCAAATAAGGTGATTGATATTTTAGATTGCCTCTCTGCGTGCAAGCTCTCTAATCAAAAATTTTATTTTATATTCTCAGTACGTGAACATGTACTCCCAAAAAATTCAAAAATACTTGCAAACTAAAATTTAAAAAAAATGTCACCAATTTAAAAATATAAAAATAAAATAAATAGTGGAATATATGTAATTAAACGAACGATCATGATGGTGTTTCGTGATCCACCAAATCAATTCTGGTATAATCCAAATTGAGGAGTTGTAACAGTTACGTGTTGCACCCACTTAGCTCGCAAAATTTGACATTCTGTTTAGAGGGCGGGTCTCAAGGTCAAAGCATAAAAGTAAAAATATAACAACTACTACAATAAACATAAGATTTGCTGATATCTGAAAAAAAAAAAAAAAAATATCATAAGCGAACAAAAGTCCGTAGGACGCCATATGGTTGGTGTCCAACCTTTTCCTTTTTTAAACTTTTATAATTAAGGCATTGTTTGGCAAATGAGTTTTTTAGTCAAAAAAATCATTAAAAAAATAAAAAAGTCAACAGTTCATACTAAAAAGTCAAAGGCTCTGTTTGGTAAGCCTCTCAAAATATAATTCTATCCATTGATTTGAGTTTGTTGTTTGATTGGAGCTTTCAAATCATAATTCTACATCTATTTCTCAAAACTCATTTCAAAACATAATCATTACTTTTCAAAACTCATAACCAAACACATAATTCAAAACTTTTTTCAAAACTCAATTTAAATCAATATTTTAATTTTTTAAATATTTAAATATTTTAAAAATATTTAAATTTTGTTAAGATTTTAAATATTTTAATATTTAAATATGTTATGATTTTTTTAATTTTTTAATTTTTTGAATATTTTTAAATATTTTAATTTCAAAATATTACGATTTTAATTTTTAAAATTTTAAAATATTTTATAAAAAAAAATTCAAACTCTATTTTATAAAAATATTTTTAAATATTTTAATTTTTTTGTTATGTATTTGGTTTCGATTTGAGTATAGAGTTGTAAAAGTACTATGGAGTTTCGAGTTATGAGTTTGGTTATGAGTTTTAAAAATAATTTCTTAATTGAGTTTTGTTTTATGTGTTTGGTTACGATTTGAGTGCAGAGTTGTTTTTAAATTTAAAATATTAACAATTTAAATTATTTAAATTTTTACAATTTAAATTTTTTGAATATTTATTTTAATTTTTTACTTATTAAATTTTTTAGATTATTTAAATTATTTAAATATTTATGATTTAAATTTTTTGAATATTTATTTTAATTTTTTACTTATTAAATTTTTTAGATTATTTAAATTATTTAAATATTTATGATTTAAATTTTTTGAATATTTATTTTAATTTTTTACTTATTAAATTTTTTAGATTATTTAAATTATTTAAATATTTATGATTTAAATTTTTTGAATATTTATTTTGAAAAAAAATTATTTCCTTTGTAATATTTTCAATTAAAAAATTGATTAATGTTATTTTCTGTTAATAATAATTTTTTTAATTGAATTTTAAAAAGAGTTTGGTTATGAATGTTGATCAGAATTTTCAATAGTGTGAAAGTAGTGTATTTTGTTATGAGTTAATATAATTTGAATTAAGTTTTAATTTTTTTTTCCAAAACTCATAACCAAACAAATTTTCTTACTTCACATGTCAAATCAAACTTTTAAAACTCAATTCCACACTCAATTCAAAACCCAATTCAACACTCTATTCAAAAATCATAACTAAACAAATTTTCTACACTCAAATTATAATTCCACAACTCACAAACTCAAAATACAACTCATACTTACAAATTATATTTACAAAACTCTACCAAACGCAATCAAAGATTCTTTTTTCTCTCTACTTTTTGCATATCTTTTTGTAAAATGTCAAAAAATATCTCAAACATACTAGTTTTTTTTAGTTCATATTTTAACCAAATAGCTAAAAAGTTACTAAATTAACCTGTTCCCAAATGAGGCCTAACACTATATTTGGTTGAATGATTTGGAAAAAGATTTAAAAGGAGAAATATAAAAGATAGGTGAAATGTGAATAAAATATATCTATATGTCACATAGTTTCACAAATTTCTTTTCTTTTTTCTTTCTAAATCCTCAATCAGTGTAAGTGTTCGAATCAGCTGTGCGTATATCAAGTAACTGTAAAATTAATGACGCGACAAACTTCTAATAATCCTTTTGGGGATTGAGGGTTGTTGCTGTGCCTTATGGCACAACAGGCCTGCTGTGAGATCTCGTAGAGGCATTTTTTGATTGTATTTTGATAATCTGAACCGTTCACATTGTAAGGTTTGTCGAGTATATTATTCATTTGAAAAATCAAGTTAATCGGACATCTATAATCCCATGATCAAGTCCTAATTATTTTTAAAAAATTATTAAAATTATGTTAACCGTTTATTTTTTGAAAAATAAATGTGCTTTTATTATGAGGCTACAAAGTCTAATTTATTTGATTTTTTGCATGAATGATCTATTCAACGAACTTTACAATGCACAGTTCAAATCATCGAAAAAGATTCGAAACACAGCCCCAATGGGCCTCACAACAAGGACCAAGACCTCCTCCTTTTGGAGGGAGTTGAATTTAAGATTGTAAATTTTACTACCCAATCTTTACCACTTAGTCAATTCCTTGATACATTCCTTCACTTTTGTTCTTACATTTGACATTTGATTGTTCATATGAAAAACTAGTAATTGCATATTGTATAATGTTTAATTGTTTGTACATTATAAAATAGATCAATTTTTCTTTAAAATTGCATTTAGATTTTATATTTGGATAAAAATTTATGAAGAAAAAAAAAAAAGAAAACAAAGAAAAATAAAATACAAGTTCAATTTCTTTCCACATTTATCATTTTTTTCTCCACGCTTTGTTATCTGAATTCTAAATTCAAATAGTAATTTAAAAAATTGTGCTAAAGTTGAGTCAACCAGTAAATCAAGAAAATGGACTTTATGGAATAAAACTATACATACATGGGACTAAATGGATTAAAAAATTCCTTCATAGACTTCTTGAGTTAAAACACTTCTAAATTGAACTTTTCAATAAAAATCTCATTTGACATTGATTGTTCATATGAAAAACTAGTAATTGCATATTGTATAATGTTTAATTGTTTGTATATTATAAAATAGATCAATTTTTCTTCAAAATTGCATTTAGATTTTATATTTGGATAAAAATTTATGAAGAAAAAAAAAAGGAAAACAAAGAAAAATAAAATACAAGTTCAATTTCTTTTCACATTTATCATTTTTTTCTCCACGCTTTGTTATCTAAATTCTAAATTCAAATAGTAATTTAAAAAATTGTGCTAAAGTTGAATCAACCATTTTTGGATTGGAGCTTTCAAATCATAATTCTACATCTATTTTTCAAAACTCAATTCAAAATATAATCTTTTAATTTTCATTTTTTAATATAATAAATTTGAGTGATATATTATTATTATTACTATTATTGTTATTATTATTGTTATTATTACACTGTAATTGTCGAGTGGAATTCAATTATTGGTATTGAATTGCCAATGCACAAAACATTATCAAATCCTATACAAATTTCAGATACTTTAGAATCATTTCAACATAATTAATTACAATCACCAACAACAACACGAATGGCAAATAATAAAACCCTGAAGCAAGCAAAGAATTCATGATAGAAAGAGGAGTTTGATGATTGGTTCTTGGAGAAGAAGCAATAAATTCTTGTAATCAATCAATCATGTCTAATACATAATCTGTTGCCTTGTACATGCGGGGTATCTTTACAATCACTTCTTTTCTACGCATGAGAGACAGGAACAATATCACAAGAAGTTTGAATTGGGAATCACGGGAGATCCGCAAAATAGTTCAGATTTACTGTCAATAATTTCTTGCACCAAAGACGTCTATGTGATTGAGATTAGCAAAATAAGTAGGTGTTTGATATGCACCAAAAAAAATATATATTTTTTTTGTATATATATATTTATTTGGATTACATCAATCAACATTTTCTCTTTATTTTTTTACCAACTTTATCTACTTTTATACACTTTTTTTATTTATTTATAAAAAGTCAAAAAGTATATATATTAGTCATGTACTTCGTCTATCTTGGTTATCTAAATTAGCATAATAATCACGTTGTTTGATTTTCGTTGATTTTTTAAAAATTGAATTTTTTGATTTTTGATTTTTTTTGGTGAATTTTTTTAATATTTTGCGTAATTTTTAAATTTTTTTTACATACATATAATCTAAATACACTTAAAAATTATAATTTTTGTATTTTTTTAAAAAAAATCACTAAATACAAAAAATACAAAAATTAAGAAAATTTAATAAATTTTCATATTTTGTTGTATTCAATATTTTTTTTGCACAAATTTTATACTTGTTAAGTATATCAAGATTAATTGGAACTAAAATTTTTTTAAAAAAAATTGATTAAAATATTTTGAAAAATCTCAAAAAATACAAAAATACGAATTAAACACTTAACAAATTATTTTTAAAAATTCAAAACCAAACAGAGTGCTTGGTTCAGTGTTGAATTGTTCACAAAAATCACTTCAATCAAACAGTGAACACGTTTACTCTAAAGGCAGTTATAAAACTTGGAGAACAAATTAACATATGACATAAATATTCTCCAACCCTAAGGGGAAGAGGTATGTAAAATCAATAACTATAACTAGAGTGTAATTCGGGCGGGTTCAGTCTGGTTGAGAGGTTGTTTAAGTTTAGTTCAAGTTGTGCTAAAACTTGTCCAGGCTCAAATTGTAACATGGGATTACCTGGCCAAGCCCGACCTGAGTTAAACTTGAGTTGCTTGAATTGCTCGAATTGTAAATGAATTTCAATTTTTTTTTTTTGCAACTACATTATAATTTATACAATTTTTTAATACACATTTTTTCATAAAAAGTCAAAAAATTAATCCAAACATCCTTATTTTTTTCCTCAAATTTTTAATCCAAAAAGATAAAAAAACAGGCCAAACATCCCAAACCACCCCAATATTAGTCATGTACTTCGTCTATTTTGGTTTTCTAAATTAGCATAATAATCACATTGTTTGATTTACGTTGACTTTCTAAAAATTGAATTTTTTTATTTTTGATTTTTTTGGGTGAATTTTTTTAATATTTTGCGTAATTTTTAAATTTTTTTTACATACATCTAATCTAAATACACTTAAAAATTATAATTTTTGTATTTTTTTTAAAAAAATCACTAAATAAAAAAAATACAA